GAGCGATCCTCCTGCCTCGGCCTCCCAGAGTGCTGGGATTACAGGCGTGAGCCACTGTGCCCGGCCCCAACCGTTCCTTTCAAAGGACAAGTGGACGTTCCCAGTTTCTTACCTATGCGGGTGCTGGGGCGCTGGCTCTCGGTGCCCTTGTCTGCCCATCTCAGCCAGTGAGCGCTTCCTGGCAGTGAGGCAGGAGGGCGCCCGTCTTCCCGCCTCCCGCCCAAGCTAAACCGGCTCTGTTCTTGCTGTGTGATCCCGCTTCCCCACGCGTGCCGAGCAGAGTGTAGTTTGAGGCGCACGTTGCTGTGCTGCTCCCTCTTGAGAAGCGCACCTGTTCCTGGCTCGTGCTCGTTTTCCCGCTGGTCCTTTCCTTGTGATCCGAGTGTCGTGTCTGGTATGCTAGCCTCTCACGGGCACACTTGTCTGCATGTCGACCTGGCTTCACAGGTGAAGCATCATCCTTCCACTGTTGACGCCACAACTGTCCTGCCAGTCTGCGAGTGCCAGCCCTGGGGCAGGGCACCAGGACACCGCCTTGAGGAATGGGGTGGGTGGCGCAGAACTTCAGACTGAGCTGATAGCCCTGCTTCTGGTGTGAGAAAGTCCAACTTAGAGTTAGAGTGGATTCCGAGGCAACCTGTTGCAAAATTACAGGACTTCATCGCAAGAAGTACAGCTCTTGTGAGAGGGGCTGCACTCTATGCAGGGTGGCTTTGGAGCAGGGGCCTGTGGTGATTCCGAGACTAGTGTTTGCACAGCCCTTGAGACGGGACCACACACAGGGAGCCCAGCAGGAGGACAGAGCTCCTCAAACCCGGGTGGTGTGTGCACACGCATGCGTGTGTGGCCAGGGTTGGCCCGAAGCTCTGCGTTTCGCAGCAACACAGATGTGGCTGAGCAGCCGGGGTGTGAGGTCTCGGGCTGGGTGGGGGCTGCCCTGATGGCGCCTCCGAAGGTCAGTGGAGCAGGGGCTGGGGAGGTTGTCCAGAGTGTTGGGCTCTGCATCGATCTGAAGGTGGGGCCTCCCGGGTTTTAGTCTGAAGGACTGAGAAGATGGAGTTACCGTTTCGGAAGCTGCAGGGATTCTGTCCTGGATGTGGCGTCCGGGACAGTGCTGTGTGGACAGCACGGTGGTCTGGAGTTTGGAGAGCGGGGTTCGTTGGTCCAGGTGGAAGTTCTGGCTGGGGACCTGTCACAGGACTCCCGATGGGCAGCCCTGAGGCTGGGTGAGACCCCAGGAGGGTGAGCAGCTCCTGGGGAGGCCTCTGCACCTGGGCTGGGGAGAGGAGCCTGCCAGGGGCACGCAGGGGAGGAGCCAAGCCAGGATGGGCTCCGAGGCAGAGGGCTGGGAGTGGGGGCCAGACACCAGCAGGCACGTCTGGGTGGTCTCAGGGTCAGGTTTGGTGGAGCCCAGTGGGAGCAAGAGCCTGGCCAGGGGCACCTGAGAACTTGGCAGGAGAGAATTGGAGATTGCTGCCTGCCAGGCTGTCCAGGGCACCCACCTGAGGGCGGTGGCAATCGGCAGAAATGGAGGGTGTGAGTGGAGAGTGTGGCTGTGTTTCAGGTGGGGCTTGTTGGCCTCTGGGTGCAGCTGGGTGGGGGAACTGGGTCGTGCAGGAGGGGGGGAAGCTGGCTGGGCCAGGGCCTGGGGTAGGGAGGGGTGACCTGGCTGGACTCGAGCTCCTGGCGCCCTGGGGCCGCTGCAGGTTCCCTCCTGACCTGCTCCCAGTGAGGAGAGTGCGGACAGTCCCGGAACAGGTGCGGGAGCCGTGGCAGGTGTAGCCCCCGTGCTGGCGTGGGGTGCACAGGCAGTGAGGATGCGGGGCCGGGTCGGGTGGAGGGTGGGCTGGGGGTGGAGACTGCGGAGAGTCTTGCTGTGGACAGTGACAGGCTCTTTCCTTTCCTGTTTCGATGTAGGTGGTTATTACCATGGAAAACTAATTTTTCCCAGAGAATTTCCTTTCAAACCTCCTAGTATTTATATGATAACTCCCAGCGGAAGATTTAAGTGCAATACCAGGTAAGGCTTCCCGGGAGCCGTGTGCCGCAGGAGCTGGCTGTGCTCGTGGGGGGTGCGTGCCTGCTGACGGAGCCCTTCTCTCGCAGGCTGTGTCTTTCCATCACGGATTTCCACCCCGACACGTGGAACCCGGCCTGGTCTGTGTCCACCATCCTGACCGGGCTCCTGAGCTTCATGGTGGAGAAGGGCCCCACCCTGGGCAGCATAGAGACGTCAGACTTCACGGTGAGGCGTAGAGGCCCCTCTCCGGGGGGCCTGCGGGGTGGCACCCTGGCCTGCCACCACATGTCTGGGCTGTTTTATGTTTCTGAGATGCAGCTGCCTTTCTCCTCAGCAGGAGGGCGCTGTGCAGGGTTTGCCTGTGTCCCCGCTTCCCAAGGACAGTGTAGAGATCGCTCCGTCCTGGGCTTCTTGGCTTTTCCTTGGTCTCACGTCCCCTCTGCCATTAGACCCTGCTTTTATCCACATTAGGCCCTGGCTGTCTGGACCTGCTGTCCACACCTTCTGGGGTCTCTTCTCAGGGGACTTTGGAGGGGGTCAGGCTGTGGCAGTGCCTCTCCACAGATGGCCTTATTAGATCCATTTTCTTGTTAGCTTGTTTTTACTTTTCTATTTTTTAAAATAGGAATCAAGTCTGATGTCATTAATTGATAATGAAAAGATAGGCCAGGCGCCGTGGCTCACTCTTATAATCCCGGCACTCTGGAAGGCCAAGGCAGGAGGATCGCTCGAGCCCAGGAGTTCGAGACCGGCCTGAGCAAGAGCGTCTCCACTAAAAATACAAAAATTAGCCGGGCGTGGTGGTGTGGGCCTATAGTCCCAGCTCCTTGGGAGGCTGAGGCAGGAGGATCGCTCGAGCCCAATAGTTGGAGGCTGCAGTGAGCTGTGATAACACCACTGTACTCGAGCTTAGGTGCAGAGCATGACCCTCTCTTGAAAAAAAGAGAAAGATAAACCTTTTTAGGACTGTAAGTTTGTTGTGAAGCATGAGCTTAAGTGCTTTCTGCAACATGAGACAGTAGCCCTTGACTCTGTGTTCAGGGTTTTGGGAGAACTGGACTGAGCTTTGTGGTGATAATTCCCTTCTCTTTCTTCCTAGAAAAGACAGCTGGCAGCGCAAAGTTTAGCGTTTAATTTAAAAGATAAGGTCTTTTGTGAATTATTTCCTGAAGTTGTGGAGGTAAGAAAGTGAAAGTTGGAAATCAGTTTTGCCTTCCCCTCTGTTAAAAACACTTTGTTTCGATTCTGTCCAAAGAGAAGATGTGTCCCTGAGGGACAGCAGGCCTCTCAAGGCTGCAGGGCCCAGAGGGCTCTGCCCAGGGCTTCCAGGTGCACACTGGCGGGGAAGAGGGCTTGGGGGCATCTGTGTGCAGGGCCGGTGGGCTGGCTGGCTTCAGGGCTACGCCAGGTGGGCCTGGAGGATCTGGGTCAGGCAGTGAGGGCTGGGCACGGACCAGGCATGTAGCGTGTTGTGTGGGTTGGCGTGGAGGATGGGGTGGGTGGGGCGTTGGTGGCTCAGATGCTCGGTGCTGTGAGCTGAATGCTGGGGCCATGAGGCCCAGGCTCGGGTGGCCTCTCGCCCACTCCCCTCACCTGTCCAGTGGGGCTGCAGCCGAGCCTGCCCTGGGTGTCGGGGTTTGACACGGAGAGGAGAACTTCCTCCTGGAACCGCTCCTGAGATCGGTAGTGTGGTCCTAAGGGAGCTGGTTTATTTAGACCAACCATCATTTCTTGTGTTTTTCTCTCAGGAAATTAAGCAAAAACAGAAAGCACAAGACGAACTGAGTAGCAGGCCCCAGACTCTGCCCTTACCAGACGTGGTTCCAGACGGGGAGATGCACCACGGCCAGAACGGGATGCAGCTTCTCAATGGGCACGCACCGGGGGCCGGCCCGCACCTCGCGGGGCTCCAGCAGGCCAACCGGCACCACGGACTCCTGGGCGGTGCCCTGGCGAACTTGTTTGTTATAGTTGGGTTTGCGGCCTTCGCCTACACAGTCAAGTACGTGCTGAGGAGCATCGCACAGGAGTGAGAGGCGCACGGGAGCCAGCCCCACGGTCGCTGTTGAGGGACGCCAGGCGCCAGAGCCCGACATGGGCAGGCTGGACACGCTGCTGAGTGCCGGCGGACCCGCCAGATTCCTGGGTTTAGCTTTTTAAAAACCTTAAAAGGAAAGCAAAAACCAAAATGTGTGATTCAGATTTGGAGGAGGCTTGAGGTTCTCAGCCCCGTCTCGCCCCCGTGCCTGTCGGGGCTGGCGTGGAGGAGGGCCGCTCACACTTTGGTTTTTATAGCTTATCTCTTGTATTGTCTTTAGACCTGTTTTAGTAAACCTGTTTTTCATTTTATTAGATTTGGTCACTTAAAAATTAAGACTCAATGCCTGTCAGATACCCAGTGCATCGGCAGGCGGGAGCCAGGGGCCTGGTGGCGGGGTGCGGCACGTGTGGTCCGAGGCTTAGCAGGGCCGGATTGGCTGGCCAGCGACAGCCACGGACGGGGGGCCAGGAGGCGTGGGATTTGGTGTCAGCATTTGAAAATGTGTTTATGGTCGGTTAGAATGAAAACATTCTAGAAAGTGCTTGTTCGTTCGTTCTTTCTGTTTTTGCTAAAGTAGAAGTTAAGAACCTGCTTACTCTGACCGCTAGGTGTCCCCCTTTACTTAAGCAGCAGCTGGGTGTGGACGAGGCCGGTTGGCCTTGCTAGGGGACAGGCCCTGCGTGCTGCGGCAGCGTCTCCTGCAGCCCTGGCCTCCGCTGGCCTCCCCGAGCTCTGGGTGCTGCAGGAGCTGGGTGTCGTCAGGTACCTGCAGAGCCTCTTCTCCAAATTCTCGTGTCCGTGAGGCCCTGTCCTCCTGTGCAGGTGGAGGGTGAAGACCCCAGGGTCTCTCAGAGGTCCCCTCAATAGGAGGACCTGCCTCCGTACACTTCGGGGCTCCCTTGCTTTGGTCTGAGCTCCCTGGTGGGCCTTGCAGGCAGGTGAGCAGGTTCCTGCCCCTGCTGGAGCAGGTGTTCCCTCTGCACGGAAGATCCCGGAAGGGAAAGCCTGCCTGGAAGGGCGTGTCCGAGTGCGTGTGGGAGCTGGCCTGGTCTCAGTGTTGGGACCCGTGACTGCCTGGGTGGCTGAAGTCTTCCCTTTTTTGTGTTTGTGTTTCATGATTCCACCTGCACAGGAGATTTTGAAGAAGCATCACATTGTTTGAAAAACCTTATATCTGTGTGTGGGGCTGTGTCCAGCGTGGACATGGCCACGGTCGTCGCTGGGAGGAACCGACTGAGGCTGAAGCCATCCCCGTCCCAGGGCGAGCTGTAAAACTGGAGTGCAACCGTACGTGTTCATCTTTGACTTTGCTTTTTAATCAGTTTATTTAAAATTGCTCTAATTTACCATTTGTATGTATTTAATCCACTCTTGTGAAAAAAATCTTTAATTATATTTTTGTTCCTAATTTCACACTGTGTCTGTGTTGGCGGAGATGGCCGTCCATCTCGGGTGGTTCAGATCCGGGGTGGCCTGTGGGTGGGGTCACACCTGCCTGGCCTGGGGACAGCTTGTCAGCCGCCGGCAGGGACCTGCTCGGGGGCAGTGGGTGCTGCCCACAAGCCCTGCTCCCCTCCTGTGCTGGACGACAGCCCCGCCTGGTCCACAGCTCGGCCCCAGAGCGCCTCTGTGACTGGAGTTGGTTCCAAACCCTTGATGTTTCCTAAGGCTCTTGGGAGGCGGGATGTTAGCAAATACTGTTTGCTTAATGCCTACTGTTTCCCTCCGTGTGCGTGAAATCTCAACGTCAGCGACCCTTGGTCAGCAGAGGAGAGGGGTCTGTGATGCCTGCACAGGATGCCTGTGCTGACCCAAAATAAAAGATGATCTTTGACCTGTTGGACCGAGCGCATCTGACCCTTTGTCCCTGCTACCCTTCCCTGGAGGAGTCGCGTGCCCATCTGTCCCAGTGTGGCGTCACCGGTGGGGGACAGTGGGCGTTCGGTGTGTCCCCTGGCCAGCACAGCTGACCCCTCACCAGCCAGTCCGTGCTGTGAAGTCTCACAAAGTTAACGTTTATGGACACAGCAGCCGCGGTGGCGGGGGGGTATCTCCTGTGCACTCCAGCGGCTGGCGCCTCTCCCGAGGAGCCCCCCCCCAGGCCGGCCTTTGAGAACTTGGCTACCAGCCAGCACAGAGGGTCTGTGTCCGAGTCTGCAGAAACTGCCTTCCCTGGGCAGTGGGCAGGATGCCCTGCTGGGGGCTGTGTCCCAGGGCCCCATGGTCCTTTGCCATTTCTCCAGGGTGTTGGGGTGTCTGTGTTGGGGGCTGCGGGGTTGGGGAGAGCTGGCAGCCGGACCTAAGTTCCCCTTCTGGGGGTGGCTTGTGGCTGCGGCCCTGGTGAATGACCGGAGGGTAGCATTGTTTTGTCAGTTTTCTAGGTGGCTCTGGCACTCAGCAGAGGGAGCATGGGGAAGGGGACGCTGAAGGCCGTGTCCCTCTGCAGAACGCTAGCTGAGTGTCTGGTTCTCTGGAGGGGACAGGAAGCCACACCCCTCCCTGCTCCTGCCCCACTGTGACTGGGCCCTGGGTCCAGCCTCCAGGCTGTCTGGAGTCACAGGGAAGCACATTGCCAGCAGGTGGCACAGAGAAGTAGGGCGCCACACCCGTGGGGGGTCTGGTGGCCCTGGACAGGGGCCTCCTAAGCTAAGGCACTGGCCCACCCCAACCTGGTGCCCTGAGACTGGGTTGAGGGGTATGGGGGCCGCCTTTCCTGACCCATTTGGGGGGCCCAGGCGTAGGTCTTGTGCAGTGTGGGCTGAGGGCACCTCCCCAGGGATTTGCGGCTTTAGCAATGCACTCCGGGGCTGCCAGAATTGGCCTCTCGGTCTTGTCCCCAGAGGTGACATTTCTCCCTGAGGACCAGGAGGGAGAGGGGGTGGGTGAGGTCCCTGGTGGGCACTTCCCACCATCTTCCCCACCCTGGTTCTATCTCTGGGGTGGCTCTGCCTGGGGCTGGGGTCTCCTGCGTGGCCACCTTCACCCATCCCTACTGATGTCTGGAAATTGGGGAGGGTCTGGTGCGTTCTGTGCTGTCCGCCTGGGCCAGTGTGCCCACCCTCCTCACGGCCGGGCCTGGGCAGCTGCTTCTCTGTTGCTCGCTGTTCTTAACCGCGGTCTATACCCACAGAGGGGCAGCCGGCAGCTGGCAGACCTGACTCAGGCTTTTAGCCCCACCCGGACCCCCACCTCTCGGCCACTGAGCTCAAAGGGCCTGACCCGGCCCAGGCTGGGAGCCTGTGAATAGCGGCTGCCCTGCTGCCCAGGGCCCCACCTTTCCCAGGAGCAGGGTCCCAGCCAGGCCTGTGGCACCCCCAGAAGCCCGCATCTGGGCCCTGGGACCTGCAGCAGGGCGGGGGCGGACGCAAGAGGGCCTTGATCAGGTGGGCCATGGGAAGGGGGCTGGGGACTCCATACATAGCTGGTGCAGGCGTGGTGGGCAGCGGGTGGAGTGCTCCCATCCTTGGTCAGGCCTCCACCCCGGAAGGAGGGTTGAGTCAGCATGAGAGGTGCGTGGCTCAGCCAGGTTGTGCTGGACAGGGAGGGGCGGGAGGAGGGATCGCAGTAACCGTAGGACCCTCCAGCCAGGGATGGGAGGTGCAGCCCCTCCCACAGCCCAGCCCTGTGGTCCTGGGAAGAGCCAGGCCATGGTCAGAGGAGGGGTCCCCGCCCCCTACTCCCTGGAGCCCTGGGGCTGTGGGGAGGAGGCAGGGCTTATTGGGCTGCTGCTCAAAGAGAGGCTGCAGGGGACAGGGGACAGAGCAAGGACGTACGGGGACTGGAGCACTGTCCTAGTGTGGCCACTTCAGCTCGTCATGCACCTTCAGCTCGTCATGCACCGGCAGCAGGGCACACCCTGGGGCCTCGCCCCCGCGCAGCTCTGAGCTCTGCCACTGTGCAGAGCTGCTGTGGGTCGGATCCATGCAGCGCTGGGCCTGGGCCTGGGCCGCAGCCCTCCTCTGGCTGCAGCTCACACTCCTCCGGGGCGTCGGGGCGCGGCGGCAGCCCAGCCAGCACATGGAGCCCCCCAACGCCACCACATCCCACAGCGCATGGCTGCTGGGCGCCCCCAAGGTATGCAGGCTGGGTACACGTGGGCATGCCCTTCCAAGCTGCTGGTTTGGGGCTCACTCGTGTCCCGGCAGTCTCTGTCCCTCCCGGCCCCCGCCCCCATCTCCCTTCCCGAGCCCTTGACCAAAGGCCGGGTCTTGGTGGGGATCTGCTGCAGCCGGACTGGCCTGCCCTCTGGGAGACCCCTCCCGGCAGCCAGCCCTTTGCCACCAGAGCGGGCCAGAGGAGAGGTTGGGGCTTCCCAGCCTGCTGCAACTAACCCTTTGAAGACCCAGGGCTGTCACCCCTGAGCTACCTGCTGCTATTAGGTGTGATTGCTAGTTCAGGGGGCGGCGTGGGGAGGGGCTCCAGGCAGCCTGGTTGCTGCTTTGCCAGACTCCATGCTGGGAACCCTGGTGCCCCACAGCTTCTGGGCTGGGCATGCCAAGGCTAGCGCCCGTGCTTCCTGGGAGTGCTGTGAGGCCAGCACCCCTGGACCCGGGAAGCGCTCTGCCCTTGAAGTCCTCAGGCCCCAGCCTGTCCAGGGTCTTCTCGAGACTGGAGACCCCCGCGCCTGTCTCACACCTGGGCTTCTGTCTTCTTGGGCTGAGGGTCTCTTGAGGGGTCTTGGAGCATGGCCTGGGGCCTCCTGCTGCTGCCATCCATGTGGGGGGGGGCCCAGGACTGGGAGCAACCCCTACCCCCCACACCCTTGCACCTTTGATCCCCGTCTCCTCCCTGCTCCCACGGCGTCTCTGTGGTGCCCGCCCAGCTGCCTCTCGGCCATGTGGCTCCCCTGGAGCCTCAGGCCCGTTTTCCAGATGGGCAGGCTGAGGACAGCCAGGCTGCAGCCCTGACAGCAAGGAGTGGGCGGTCCTGCTGGCAGGAGGGCATGGTTGGCTAGGTGGGGCTGGGGGTGCCTGGCAGGGGTGGGATCCCAGCCAGCCACCTGGGGTGGGGGAGGCACCCACCTGTACCCTTGGTGGTTCCCTCAGCACCCAGGGCTGCCCCTTAACGACAGGGCTGGGAACTGATGGGGGGACAGGGCTGTCAACCAGATGGGGGCCCAGCTGTAGTGTGTGGGACGCCTGCTTTTCCTACTGGGGTGGGCCCAGTCCCCATCTGCCCTCCAGGGCCCCCAGCCCCTCCAGCACGTCCAGGGGAGGTGGTGGCCGGGGGAACTAGCAGACCCCGATGTGCGAGGAACTGGGTGCCTTCAAAAGACTCTTTGTTCCCTAGTGGGGCCTAGGTCAGGGGTGGGGCATCCCCAGGATAGAGGCCTATCTGGCCCACTGGGGAGGAGCCCCCCACCCGGAACCTGACTCTCCTGGTTTAGGGCTCGAGCTGACCTCGGGATGGGACCATGCTCTAGGCCAGGACCCCTTGGCACACCCTGGCCTGGGGGCCCGACCAGCGTCTGTTGGTTTCCTGCCCATTCCACGAGCTTCCTGCCCGAGTCTGGCACACAGACTTCCAGGCCACTCTCCCCAGCCCAGCCTGTCTGCACGTCTCCTCCTCTGACTCCGGGGCTGGAGCAGAAACCGGGCCTAAGAGGAGCATTGGAGGGCTGGGGGCAGCAGGGCCTTGGGCTGCTCTGCCTGGCTCTACCCCAACCCCCGCTTGAACAGGGTGGGCCAGTGAGGCCTCAGCCTGAGGAGTGAGGCTGGTTGGAGCGCGGGGGTTGCCAGCTTTCGCTGCCGGAGCTTGGAGCAAGGGCCTGAGCCCACTGCCCCCAGCCCCCACCCTTGCATTGGCTCTTGGCCCGGTGCTATCTCTGGGACGCTCAGAGAGGCTCCTGTCCTGCTCCCACTGCCCCTGCCCCACTTCACCAGCGCCAAGCTTATGTTAGGCTCTGGGCCCCAGGCCCGGCTCCAGCAGAGGCCCGGTCCTCGGCCTGCCTGTGCCCCTGACATGGGGACATCTGGGTGCTGAGTCCCTCAGGGGTGGCCGGCCATGGCATCCCTGTGTTTGCTTGTGTCCCGCCCACTGCCTTGAGATTCCCAGGTCTCTGCCGGGCACAGTGGGGACAGGGGCCAAGAGGGCCTGGTGGTCAGCACGCTAGCCCTAGCGCCTGCCCTGCAGGCTTCCAAGGCCTCAAGACCTGAGTTCTCAGATGCCCACATGACGTGGCTGAACTTCATTCGGCGGCCTGACGATGGGGCCTTGAAGAAACGGTGCCGAGGCCGGGACAAGAAGTCGGTGAGAGGCCGGGCGCGGTGGCTTACGCCTGTAATCCTAGCACTCTGGGAGGCCGAGGCGGGCGAATTGTTTGAGCTCAGGAGTTCGAGACCAGCCTGAGCAAGAGCGAGACCCCGTCTCTACCAAAAATAGAAAGAAATTAATTGGACAGCTAAAAATATATAGAAAAAATTAGCCGGGCACGGTGGTGCATGCCTGTAGTCCCAGCTACTCGGGAGGCTGAGGCAGTAGGATCGCTTGAGCCCAGGAGTTTGAGGTTGCTGTGAGCTAGGCTGATGCCACGGCACTCTAGCCCGGGCAACAGAGTGAGACTCTGTCTCAAAAAAAAAAAAAAGAAAAAGAAGTCGGTGAGCCCCAGGCTGTTGAGGCCAGCCATCCTGGCCTTCACTAGGGTCTGGGCCCCGGGCAAGGGGTGGCCATGGCTCCCACTGGGGACCCACTGGGACCCTCGCTTTCTGCCTCCTTCCAGCAGGGTCTCTCGGGTCCCCCAGGGCCTCCTGGACCCCCTGGGCCCCCGGGGCCACCCGGTGCAGAAGTCACCCTGGAGGTCCTGCTGCAGGAATTTCAGGAGATGCTGAGAGGTAAGGCTGCTCCCCTGGGCCCAGGAGGCCCCACCCAGGGCCGGATGTGCTGGCCCAAGCTGACCCTCCGCTGCTGCCCTTCTCCCCACAGAAGCTGCCGAGCGCCGGTTCCCAGGGCTGCAAGGCCCGCTGCTGCCCCAGGGGCTGGGCCTGCGGCTGGTGGACGAGGCCTTTCGCTGCCGGCTGCGCAGCCCCCAGCTGGTGGACGGGAGGACACTGGTGGAGCTGCGTGGCTTTCAGGCCGTGAGTGGGGGTGGGGGCCGGGGCTCCGTGGCCTCTGGAGGCACCGACTGCAGGTGCTGCCAGGGTGCAAGGTGCTGGGTGTGTCCCCCACAGGCGAGATGAGTCCATGGCCGCCACCGACAGTCACCGGGCACATATGTGGGTTGGGGTCTGGGGGGAGCTGGGTGCAGAGGGTGAGGGGTGATCTCAGGTCAGGTTGGAAGGACCCGTGTGCCCAGACCCCACCTTATGCCAAAATTGGGGCTGGGGTCCTGGGCGGCCAGAGGCAGGGCCTGTGGGCCTTGTCTGCCCCTTGGGGCCCAGAGCCTGTGCCCTGAGTCCCAGGTGGTCGTGGACGCAGGGTCATCCCTGTCCTGCCCACTGGTGAGAGCCAGGACCCCAGATCAGGGGCTGTCTGTTGCCAGCACCTCCCCCCAGGCCGGGTTGCAGGGGTGGGTCCCGGCCCTCAGCCAGCCACTCAGCTGCTGCCCCTCACAGCCCACTGCCCAGGGCGACTTCCTGCGGGGGTCCGGCCTCAGCCTGTCCTCGGGCCGGTTCACAGCCCCGGTGTCCGGCATCTTCCAGTTCTCTGCCAGCCTGCACGTGGGTGAGCCCTGGGGACCACAGTGTGTGCGGCTGGGGGCTGGCCTTCCCGGGTGGGTGCCCAGCATCACTGGCCCCAGGCCCAGGTCCCCTCAGAGAGCTGCCACCTGCTCTGCTCAGGGCCCTGTACTGGGCATGGGGCCACTGGCTCCTGTCCTCTGGGGCGTGGGTCACTGCTGTGCTCCCGGGCCTCAGGCCCTCCCTCGCCCACCCGGCACCCCTCCCGTGCCTTTTCCAGGCAGTACGCCCTAAAGCCCCTGCCCCTGTGCGCCGCCCTCGCCGAGGGCTCTCTCCACAGGCCACAGTGCGCTGCAGGGTAGGCCGCGGCTGTGGGCCGGCGGCGCGGTGCGCGTGCTCATCTGTATCGAGTCCCTGTGCCATCGGCTTGCGTGAGTGAGCCCCCGGGGGCTGGGGTCCCAGGTGGGCTTCTAGAAGGAACATGAGTCCACAGGGGTCTCCGGGCACCCAGGGTGGTTGGACCCAGACTCCGCCCTCACCTGTGCCCTGTGGTGCTGTGCCAGGTCCCTGGAGGCCGTGTCGGGCCTGGAGAGCAACAGCAGGGTCTCCACGGCCCAGGTGCAGGGGCTGCTGCAGCTGCAGGTGAGGCCAGGGCGGGGTCCCGGGTGCACCCGGGCACAGGCCACACGGGGGTCGGACTCAGGGCCTGGCACCTCCCAGCCGGTGCAAGCAGGAAGGCCGTCGCCACATAGTCGCTCAGGACCCCTGATGCTGGGCTGGGGCCACCACGGTGCTGATGTCCACTGTGGTGCTTGCAGGCTGGACAGTATGCTTCCGTGTTCCTGGACAACGGCTCTCGGGTGCTTCTCACCGTCCAGGGCGGCTCCAGCTTCTCGGGGCTGCTCCTGGGCAGGTGAGCCATTGCTGACTCGTCTCGGAGCGCCTGGTTAATACCTGTGGTCACCGCAATAAACACTCTCAGCCCTCCCTGTCGCCCCTGGGCACGGCCTGGTCATTGCGTTGCTGGAGGTGGAGGCCGCCTGGCTGCTGAGGTGGGGGCAGGGCAGCAGGATGCTGTCCACAGTGACCCCCAGAGCTCAGAACGTGGCCGCAGGTGCCGCAGACACAGCCTCGGGACAGACCTGTCCAGCCAGGTGGGGGTGGAGCCAGCCGAGCTCGCTCTGCGCAGCCCCTGCCCCTGCTGGGGGCCGTGTCTATCCTGAGGACAAGGACGATGTCCACGCAGGTCCCTGCTCAGCCCTGCCCATGGCCAGGGACCTCCCCCCTCCCCCAGGGCCCGTCCACATCCTGGGCTGTGGATACCCAGGTCCGAGAGGCCTTGGGGCACTGGACTCCGGAGGAGCTGGTGGCAGCAGAGGGTGGGGGTGTGGGTGAGCAGGCAGAGTGCCTGTGTCCTGCGGGGGAGGGGTCGGGAGCCAGGCTGGAGGGTGTGCGAGCCACAGACAGGACTGTGCTCTCGCGGGGAGCTGGAGGGCACCACGTGGCCCAGGCTGATGGGGACCAGGGCAGGCCCCGCCTCTCACCACCTTCCCCGGTGATGGCCACTGCACCCCAAAGACCAGGGCCCCTCTGGGCCTTTGGGGCCAGAACTGCCCCTTTGAGGCTGGAGCCCGGGCTGAGGCCCCGATGGGTCCTGTGGATTTGGGAACTCCATCCCCACCCCATTTTGGCTGCTATCAAACTCAGACCGAGGAATGTACATCGGCCGCAGGATGTCCCGGGCTCTGCAGAGCTGCCGAGATACCGTCTCCGGTTGGCTCCCAGGAGTCACGAGCAGGTGGCCATGGGCTCCAACCTCTGACACCGCAGGGGTCGCGGTGGGGCTGGCCCGTGGCCGGTCCTCCCCTGCCTGGGGTTGTCTACCGAGGGAAGGATTTAGGCGCTGCGGGGGGGTGGGGGTCAGAGGGGTCCTGCATGGGCAGGGGCAGGGGAGGGGCAGGTGGGGCAGGGGTGGCTGGGAGAGACTGGAGCCCAGGAGCTGTTCCCCCTCCCCTGGGACCGTGGCCTGCCTGGGGGGCCACAGGGGGGCCCTGGGCAGTGAGGCAGCCAGCCCAGCAGGCGACAGCCAGGTGGTGTTGCCTGGCGCCGGTCAGTGCAGCAGTGGGCCTGGCTGCTGACCCGTCCCCACCCCTCTCCCTGGGCCCCCCGGGGTGGCGTCAGGGACTGGGCCTGTCGGAGGGGGGGGTCCCTGCTTCGTTAACCTGGCTGCAGCCATCAGCCTGGTCGGACCGGGGTTGTCCTAGCGGCTGGCCAGGGCTCGTGTGCAGCACCACCCTGGGGTCCCTGTCCAGGAGACGGGGGGCAGGGGTGACCAGCCCCCACCACTTCCCGCCTGGGGCCACGGAGCCAAGGCCCCATGCAGAGGTCTGGGCTTGGGGAGCCCCGTCCCCTCCTTACTCTGCAGCCCCTTGTTGGGCACAGCCCCCTTGTGGATTTGGGAACTGCCCATTGACACCGGGGAAACTGAGGCTGTGGGCTAGAGGGACCCCCCAGGGTCCTTGAGAAAACACAGTGGTGCCTGGGGAGGGTGGCAGGGCAGAGGCGGGGAGCATGGACCCCAGGGCTTCAGATACCCCGTTTGCTTCCCGCCTTCCTCTCCCTGGCCGGCCCTGCCCATTCGTCCTTGTCTCTCCTCTGGCCCCCTGGGAGCAGCCCCCACCCTGCGCAGGGATGGGCCAGGGCCTGAGGCCGGCTGGGATGGGGACAGTCCTGCCAGACCTCGCGGGCCACAGCAGTGTAGGGGGTTCCTGAGATGCCAACAGCAGCCATTACCCCCACCCTCCCAGCCCAGGAGGCAGAGCCTGGGAGGACAGGTGGAGCCCTGAGAACAGGACCCAGGGCAGCGGCAGCTGAGAGACAGGGAGCTCGGTGGGCAGGGGCCAGGCAGGGCTGCCTCGGTGCCCCCCTCCCTGCGCCCACCCCATCCACCGCCTCTGGCTCCCCCGTCTTCCCTGATGGGAGGCCACTAGCCACCTAGCTCTGATTCCCCTGGAATGTCTGTGGCTGGAGGCTACGAGCAAAGGAGTGGGCAGGCTGGGGGGGTGGGCGGCTGCCATGGGAGGGTCCAGGCCCCAGCCCCAGGCCCTCAGCTGCAGGGGACACAGGCTGCCCAGCCACCAGCTGGACCTCCCAAGGCAGTCCCAGACTGCAGTGTTGGCCGTGGGAAGGATCTGGTGCCCGTCACTCTCACCCGGGTTCTGTGGCAGATGGAGGCCAGGCCAGAGCTGCTGCTGCTTGGAGCAGGGGCTGGCAGGGGTCCCACGGGTGAAGGGAGCCCAGGGAAATGGAGCTTTCCCTCTGGCAGGGACGCCCTGTGTTGGAGCTGGGCTGTTGAGTGAGTGGCCCAAGCGTCCAGTTGCTTCCCAGTCTCTGGCGGTGGCCAGGGCCGTAGCAGCCAGCACAGTGCTGACCCTCGCGTGCCCTGTCCGGAGCCCCAGGCAATGCTGGCTGTCCTCACTGACCCTCGGCTGACTTCCCGAAACCTCAGTCTGACCCTGCTGCAGGGGGAGCTGCTGCGGTGGAGACTCCGGCTGTCGGGGGTGCCGTGCCCAAACCGTGGGTGCTTTTCCCAGCACCCTTGCCGAGCCCTGATCTTGGGGCCGCAGCCTGGCCAGACCTGACCAGCCCCTCCTGGCACCCAGGCCAGGACGCTGGAGCTGTGCCTCAGTGTTGGGCCGGAGCCTGTCCCCCTAGTGCCCTTGGCACCCTGTCCCGGGTGTGAGCGCAGACAGGAACGTGAACATCAGGTTCAGGGTGGCTGGGGGCCAGTAGGAGCAGGGCCTGGGCTGGGGGCTCCTGTCCTGTGAGAGGAGGCTGATCCCACCCTGGCCTCGGTGTAAACACCTTAGCGAGCACCGCCCCACCCCCATCCACCTCGAGGTCTCCTCTGGGGGCTGGGGTGTGCAGAAGAGGCAGGCCTGCCCTCACCAGCCTGGGCCTGGGGCACCCAGGGGCGAGCCCTTGGGCTACAGAGGCCATGACCCAGTTTCGGTTTCTGATGTCAGTCCTGCCTGCCCGGTTGGGCCTGTGTCTGCTCCAAGGGCTCCCAGGGAGCTGTGTGTGCTTCCCTGTGTCCTGTCCATGCATCCCAGACCCAGGCCACACATCCCTGTCATCTGGGCCGAGGACCGAGGGTGGCTCCGGGGCTTGTGGAGCCATGTGGGTATGTCTGCGGGGCTGTGTGTCCGAGCAGGTGGCATGTGTGCTGTCCCTGGGTGTGTCCTGGTGTGTCCTCCACTCTGTCCTGCATGTGGGCAGAGTGGAGCAGCATCTCGTGTGGGTGGCGTGTGTGGATTGGGTCACTGCGTGTCCACAGATCTCTGCTCTGGGACCAGGACTCTGCATAGTACCGGAAGCACCAGGCCCCATGGGAGCAAACAGGGCAGGGCAGGTGTCCAGGTCTGGTGGCTGGAGCCCTCAGCCGGCCAGTCAGGGAGCCCGTCACGCTGTACTGTCAGCTTGCGGGGCCTGGGCCAGACCTACTGTGGTGGCCGCCCTGGGCTGGGGCGTGGGGTGATGGGCAGGGGAGGGGCTCCCTGGGTGGTGGCAGGAGCCCTATGTGGTCCGTGGCCTCCACCCTGCCTATGCCCAGGAGGCCTTTGCGGCCAGAGCTGGGGAGCAGAGCTTGGGCTACTGCATCCTGGGGCCGCAGCTCACCAGCTGGGCGTGGCCAGTCTGCCCTTAGGGTTCCAGTTCAGGCCCCTCTGAGCTCCGTCTAGCCCCGGGCCCTGCCCCCAGGGTCTTTGCAGCCTGGCCCTGGAGATGGGGGCATGTGGACTGGGAAATGTGTCCGGGCGTTGGGAACATGCCTCCGACCCTGCCTGAACCTGCTGCCGCCATTGGCATGTCTGCCCGCCCGCGTGTCTGGCAGTTGCACAGATGGGCCTGGCGCAGGGGTGCTTGGGGACAAAGGGTCTTTGTTTGGGAGGATTGGGGCGCAGCACCCACTGGGCAGTGACGCATGGCTCCTCTGCTGCAATGACTTCAGTTTTGCAACAGCTGGTGTGTCAGCCCTGCGACCCGCCCGGGGCCTCCTGCCCAAGCCCGCACCCACGGCCCCTGGAGGCTGCCCTGATGGGACCTGTAACGGGGAGGCAGGGCTGAGTGGCTGAGCAAACTGCATCTCTGCGGGGAAAATCTCCACCCACCAGCCTTGCGCCCACCCCTGGCCTCCAGCCCCTCTCTGCAGGCCCCCGCCTGCCCTCCCGGGCCAGCTGCGGAGGGCCTTGGGGTCCCGCCCCAGGCCTGTCCCTGCCACAGCCCAGGAGTGTGCAGGACGCCCTTGGCAGCAGGATGCACCAAGGCTGGGCTCTCAGAGGCGCTGTCAGGCAGCGTTCGAGTCTTCTTCTGGGGCTGGAAGGGCCGGGTGGGACCTGTCTGGAGACACAGTGACCCTCTGTCGCCACCGGCAGGGGCCTGAGCCTGGCTCCGGCCATCCATCACTCCCTCTCGGGATCAGAGGGGGGCCGCTGGTGGGTGGCGCGGGTTCCTGGGGGAGGCCTGTCCAGCCGAGACTCTCAGACGCCACCGGAGGGAGGGCTGGGGCTTGGGTTTCCTTCTCGGGTCACAGGGCTGGGTCAGGCCCCAGGTCAGTGGGAAGGCGGAGCTGGACTCCAGTCCCACCTGGGCTCCTGCCCTGCTGGGCTGGCCTTGGAGGCTCCGCCGCCAACTGTAGTGTTTACTTTAGCGGATTAAGCCGACTGCTGTCCGGGGACACACCCTGCGGCCCCTGGCTTTTCCTCGGCTGTGAGCGTCCTCCCACCCACCGTCCCCACACCAAGGCCAGCGAGCTGAATGGGCTTCACGGTGTCAGTGCAGAGTCCAGGCCCAGCCTCCTCCGTGGCGCTGCCAGAGCAGAGGCTGGCCTGGAGGGGAGGCAGGAGAGCTGGCTCAGGTGGGCCTGGGGCCTTCCAGACCTGCCCCACCTGCCCCTCCCAGACCTCACCTGTCCTTGGTCCCCTAGGCTTAGCCACTGCTCCTCAGGGCACCCCGCCCACAGTGCTACCCCCAGTGGGACCCCACGGGGAGGGGCTCAAGATCCTTGGGAGGAAGGGCAGGCCCAGGCTGGGGTGGGCGCCAGGGTGGCCAGGTCAGTGGGTGGGGAGGGTCCTCTGGGTGGGGGCCAGGAGGCTTCAAGGGGAAGCTCAGGAGAGCAGGGCTGCTGGGCTGAGGTCCCAGGAGCACAGACACCCACGTGGTGCTGGGCTGCACCCCTCAAAGCCCCCTATTCTTTTGAGGATCCCAGAGATGGCCAGGCCCTGGGGACGGACAGTCGGGTGGGTGTGGCCTCAGGCCTCAGCTTGGCCAGAGCTCGTTTACTGGAGGAAACCGAGGAGCGATAGAGCTGTGCCCCTCCCCATGCCCCGTGAGCTGTGATGGGGAGCACTCGGGGTGGCCCAGGAAGCAGGGCCCCTCCCTCCGTTCCTGGGGGCCCTGCTGTGGGTCCTGGCCAGCCGCACCCTGGGTGTCCCAGGGCCCCAGGCTGGGAGGCCGGAGCTGCGATTCCCCAAACGTCAGCCGCCGTGGGAGGAGCGCTGGCTGCCACCCGACCTTGAGGATTCTGAGCTGGGACAGTCAGCCAGGGAGACGGTGGGAGGGTCGGGGGCCCCAGGGGGCCCCAGCTGGATGACGAAGGCCTGCTGGGGACGGCCGAGTCCACTGACCCTGGGAGGTGGAGCAGGTCTGGGCCAAGCCAGCGGCCAGGGCAGCCCCTCCTGTGCCTCCCGCGAGTGCCCATGTGGTGCGGGGTGCTGGGCATGACAAAGGCCCACTGTGCTGGCGTCTCCCTCGCGGTCTGGAGGCCGGACCTCCAAAATCAAGGTCCCAGCAGGGCTCCCTGCCCCTGACCCCCCGAGCCTCTGGTGGTGGCTGTGGATCCTTGATGTCCCTTGGCTGCGGAGGCGCCACCGCCAGCTCTGCCTCCGCCGTCACGTGGCCACCTTCTCCCGTGTCTGTTTCTCTGCTAAGGACCCAGTCCAGCTGGAGCGAGGCTTCCCCAGTGACCTCATCTTAATCACATCTGCAAAGACCCTATTTCCAAATAAGGTCACAGTTGCAGGTGCTGGGGGTGAGGATTTGGACCTGTCTTTTGGGGGGCACAGCTCAGCCTGCAGCTGGGGCCTCAGCAACCACAATCCCAGCCAAGTGCTGGCCCTGCCCAGGCAGGTGGGTGGATGGAGACCTTGAGGGCTAAGGGATGGGGCTGCCCCGGGAAGACCCGGGCTCAGGCAGCACTTTGTAGCTGGGGGGCAGCCACCCCGGCCACAGGCCTGTCTGCAGGTGCCTCCACGCCAGCCAGGACCAGGGTCCCCCAGGAGGAGGAGAGGCGCCCCTTCCTGCCCCCATATGGCGACCCAGAGGGGCCAGAGCCCCGTGCTCTTGGCCTGACCTTGAGCAGTGTGCTGCCCTGTGTGCCCTCCGGCCTGACGCTGCACCCCTGTCCTGTGTCCCCTCCACAGGCAGGTCGCTCAGGCTCTGGATGGGAGATACCAGTTTGGCCTGGGAAGAGTTAGTTGTGTGTCCTAAGTTCCCCCACGGAAAAGGGTTCATCGTCAGACCTCCCTGTGTCCCAAGGGTCTGCTGCCTCCTGGGCTCTGGGCTCAGCCCAGCTCTCCAGGGGATGACTCCAGCCAGCCAGTGCCTTGGCAGGTGTGGGGTGCGTGGGGCAGCGGAAGGGTTCAGGCTGGAGGAGGGGAGGCCACGTGGGCCCGTGGTCACTTGCCACGAGGCAGGGATGCCGCCAGGGAGCAGGAAGGGGGTGGCCCAGCATCAACTCAGGGCAAGTTTGGGGTGTCAGGAGAGAAAACTGGGGCTGAAGCCCGGGCTGGCTCCAGCACACAACTGGCAGCCAGCCACTGCCTAGGGCTCCCGCTTTGCGCGATGGAGCCTTCTAAATCTCGACGTCAATCAACCACAGCGTGGATGTGGGTGGTCAGCCCAGGGCAGGCTTCAATCTGTTTTAAAATATAATGTGTTAGGTTGCACAATATGACATTTCCATTTTTGTAGGTCAGAAGTTGTTGCATGTTGGATTTTCAGACTTCCTGCCAGGGGATTCTTAAACCTTTGTGCTGCGTTTTCAGTGGGGGTCCGCACTTTGGAGCAATGCAGAACTGGGCAGTGACAGGCAGGGCCTGAAGAGTCCAGTCCCGGCTCTGCCACTGGCCACATGGCCCTCAGCGCGTCGTCCAGCCTCTGTAAGCACCTTTTCCTCATCTGCGAAACGGAGACACACGCCAATTCTTCAAACAATTCGGAGGTGCAGACGTGGCATCCCAGGTGAGAATGGTTGGCAGGAATCTGGGATCAGCATCCCTCTGGAGCCGGTGATCCCCTCGTGGGAGGGCTGGCAGGGCCCCATTCTGCTCACCCTGGCGTCCCCAACCTGGGATCCTTATGAATCCTTGTCCATGAACAAAATACAGACGGGGCCGTTAGTTCTGGCTTCCAGGAGGCCAGTTGGAAAGCTCACACTCAACTTGCAATCAGAACCTGATCTGACCTCGGGAGCCTGTGGTCCCACCCTGACCTCCTGAAGGTGGGATAATCCCAGTTCAGCTCACTGACCCTACTTCCCCGAGACTGCCCAGAGTTCTGGATATTCTTCTGCCTTTAAACTAAAATAACCCAAACCTGCTCCTGGGCACACGGCCTGGGAACTCAAGAGCTGGCACCTTCCCCTTCACGCTGCCCCAAAGTGGGACACGACCCAGGCCGCCAAGACCGAAAACCCAAGTCAGACCCCAGAAAAACGCATCCTGGAAGCCGAGGAGGCTTGTGGTCTCCACTTGTCCTGGCACCACTTTATTGTACTTTTGCAATGACCGTAGTGTTCACTTTTTTCATTAACTGGGGGCAAATGAAAAGGAAACCCTGCGCTCCCAAGACGTGTTAGGGTGTGTGAGAGGTGGTCGGGGTGCCAGCCAGCCAATCTTGTTTCCTTCAGACAATTTGGGAAACCTCGTCAACACTTCCAAGGGTTCAGCTTCCTGGAATTTGGGCCCAGAGTCTGAAATAACAAAGACGCTCTGGCCCCCTGAGGACGAGGCACTGCACCAGGAAGCCTGAAGGAAAAGTCTTTCCAGAAAGAAACAGTGGGGCTGAATTACGTGTCAGCCTAGAGAGAAATGGGCAGTTTTAAAATGCTTCCCTGTTTACACACACGCAGCAGCAGAGTTGCCAACTCGAGTTGTAAAAGCAGATTTACCCACAAATTCGGAATTCTGACGTGATCTTGAGTAATTTAAAAAATACTGGCCGGGCGCGGTGATTCACGCCTATAATCCCAGCACTCTGGGGGGCTGAGGCGGGAGGATCGCCTGAGGTCAGGAGTTCGAGACCAGCCTGAGCAAGAACAAGACCCTGTCTCTACTAAAAAGAGGAAGAAATTAGCTGGGCATGGTGGCATCTGTAGTCCCAGCTACTCGGGAGGCTGAGGCAGGAGGATCACCTGAGCCCAGGAGTTGGAGGCTGCAGTGAGCTATGACACCACTGCACTCTAGCTGGGGTGACAGAGCAAGATTCTTGTCTCAAAAAGTAAAAAAAAAAAAAAAAACTCTGAAACCTGCATGCTCCCAACTTAAACTCTTATCTACACAAATTTAAAATATTTGTAAATAAATCACAAGCAAGCATTGACTTATATTTGCCAAATATTTACCACAAATTCGCTCTAAGGAGACACAGACGAAAATACCATTAAAGCTATTATAATTCATGTGAACCAAGTGAAATATTAGACACACATGACAAATGATACGGAAAAGAGACGCAGAAGAAAGTTAAGCCATCAGAACAAACCGGCAAAAGCCGTTTGATGACAGCTGGCAGCTCAGCTGCAGCTCAGGGCTGCGGGCGGCCTGCGGCTGTGGACGCGCGAACTCCAGGACGGTCTCGGGGCGCCCGGGAGCGGCGGCCCCGGCGGTGGCCAGGACGTCTGTTCCGCCCTCATGTCCAAACCGCGCCAGGCTGGGCTCCTGCTGGCCAAGACCCGCGGATGGGCCGCTGCTGCCTGGGCAGGACGCGCTGCGCTGGCAGCCCCCGGGGCCTCCGGGCCCATGAGATGCTCCGGAGCGAGGCCACGTGCGCGGCGCCGAGGCGCACAGCCCTGGTCGCAGCACGGGAGCGCGAGCGAGGTGTGGCGAGAGGCTGCTCGCACCCGCCCCACGGGGCCCCCTGGTCGCGGGACAGACCGGGTCGGGGGCTCAGGGGATGCCCTCCTTCCGCTGGCAGCACTGGGAGGGCGGCGCGGACCAGTCGTACACGTAGGACAGGCGCAGCTGCACCTCGCGCTTGCACAGGCGGCCCTCGCGCGCCAGCGTCTGGTGCTTCTCCAGCATGTCCTCCAGGCTCTGCTTGTGCGTCACCAGGTACTGGTTGCTGCAGCCGCGGGACCTGTACTCGGTGTCGAAGCGCGGGTCGTGCTCGCGCTGCACGTCCACGGGCGCCAGCCAGGCGCCCAGCGACACGTCCTCGCTGTGCCAGGCGCGCAGGTAGTCGCGGCTGAGGCGCAGGTAGTGCACCAGGTCCGCCGAGAGCACGTAGCCGCCGCCCAGCGCGTAGGGCAGGTAGTAGTCGCACAGCTGCCAGCCGGCCTCGCGCCAGCGGCCCCCGGGCTTGACGCGGCCGCGGCCCGAGAAGAAGCCCCAGTAGAGGCGGCGGCGGCGCGCGGGCTCGCGGGCGCGCAGCTCGGCCAGCAGCGCGTCCAGCCGCGCGAACGAGTCGTCGTCCGCCTTGAGCACGAACTCGAAGGCCACGTGCTCGTCCAGCCAGGCCAGCATGGCCAGCACCTTGGCCGTGAGGTTCTCGTAGGCGTCGCGCAGCGCGGGCAGCAGCAGGAGGTCCCCGTGGCGCGCCTGCTCACGCTCCAGCGCGCGCCGCTCGTCGGCGTCCAGGCCGGCAGTGCCCACGGCGAAGCGCGCCCACACGTCGCCCGGGGCCCCGCGCCGCGCCAGCCACGTGCCGCGGACCACGCTGCGGCGCTCGGCGGCGCGGGGCGCGCTGGCCACCAGCACGGCCAGGAAGGCGGCGGCGCGGGGCGCGGGCGCGGACGCGGGGCCGGCGGGCGCGCAGCGCGCC